CTTGTGCTGGTGGGGCCCTGGAGGAAGGAATGGTTAGTTCTAGCTAACACTACAGGTGCCTCTGTATGAGTGACAACCCTTCTGAATATGAGAATTATAATAAGGTGTAGCTTCATCAGTTACCCGCAACTGAGGACTCTCTATAGAGTTGCCAGGGAGCAGAGGTTGGATTTCCATCTGACTCCCTCTTGGTCCAGGGCACAGCTGGTGCTGCTGCCCTAACTGGCTCTGGCAGGCTCTTCTTCCCAAGGCAGAGGCCAGCAGAAAAAGGCTTCTTAGAGGCTGTGGGGCAGGAACTGGCTCTGGGACAGGAGCAGCTGCCCCAGGTGGAAGGAGGGCCTTCATGGTAGAAGGAATCTTGGGAGAAATGCCAGGGACTCTGTCGGGAGCAGCCGGCCAGCACGGGCTCTACCCTGCTTCACCCTTTCCAGCTCTGTGTGTGTGTGTGCACACGTGACTTACCCTCTCTGAGCCTCTTTGCTCCCCAGGAAATGATAATAATAGTGTAGCAGCTGAATGGGATTGTTCTTCAGGATGACCAAGTTAATGCATGTGCAGTACTCAGCACAGGACCTGGTAATTCACAGTATTGTGCTAGGTTTTGGGAGAGGATGGAAATGTGAATTGAAAATAGAGCCTACTATTAAGGAGCTGAAAGAATCCTAGTTCAGAGGAGACACTTTCACAAAAATTATACATTCGATATAGAGTATAAACATTCCACAGAAAAAAACAGATGAATTAAACTCCTTTAGTGTTATCTTCTAGGCAGGTATGATCAGTCAGTTTTATGTCAATGTCACCTTGGCTAGGCGATAGTGGTCAGTTATTTGGTCAAACACTAGTCTAGAGGTTGCTGGAAGGTATTTTTTAGATGAGATTAACACTTAGATCAGTAGACTTTCAGTAAAGCAGGGTGTTCTCTGTCCATGCAGGTAGGCCTCATATAGTCAGATGAAGTCTTAAGAGAAAGACTAAGTGAGTTTACCCCAAATAGAAGAAATTCTCAAGACTGCAATATAGAAACCCTGTCTGAGTTTCTAGCCTGCTACCCTATGAAATTTGGACTCAAGACAACATTAATTCTTACCAGAATTTCCAGCCTACTTTTCTGTCCCATGGGTTTTGAACTCGGCTCCCACATTTGCATGAGCCAATTCCTTAAAATAAATTTGTGTAAGTGTATATGGGTGTGTGTGTGGGGGGCGGGTTGGTGTGTGTGCATATCCTATTTGTTCTGTTTCTCTGGACAACCCTAATATAGAGGGTACTGGGAAATTGCAACATATGACATAATTTTATGAGGAATGAGTAGGATTATACACAAGGAGAAAGATTCGGTTAGTAACTGTTCTTTTTGGGGAATACAGATTCACAGCACTTGGGAAAGGGATATTACACAACAAACCATCTACCTCTCTCTATTGGCAAGTTTTTGTTTTGTGGCCCCCTCAGTCTCAGTTTTGCATTGTATTAAAGCAGGTCTTCTTGAGACTCTACAATTCCAAACAAACCTCTTAAGGAATTCACTTACCTGAAAAGAGTAGACAAAGCAATTTATTTTCGCTGTTTGACACTTAGCAGGAGCTGCCTGGCATTTTTATGCATGGTTTATGCCCTCTCTCCAACTCAATTATAAGCTTTTCTAGGTACTCTCAGCATGTAGCCTGCCATTCTAAACACACAGGTTCTCAATAAACATTGCTTGGATTGAATTGAGTTGAATATGTCCTCCCATGGACCTCAGATTACTCCATTAGAGTATATAAAACTCCCACAAATGACAGCATTCTAGGCAGACCCAAGGGGTAGGTGATCATTTAGAAACTACTCTTACCTCTCTTACTTCTCCTCCCTCCATCCTACATACGCAATTCCTGCTCCTTGTTTACCTGTATCTGGCCTCATGCCCAACATGTAGTCAACAATTACCAACAACCAATAGGATGTAGAGCCCCGTGCTTGATGCCTGGTGGGAAAACAAAGGAGCAGAACTCTAGCCTCTTGGTTTCTCAGCCTCTAACTCCAGTGGTCCCTTTCTCCACCCCACCTCTGCCATCTGCCCCCACTGGCGTAGCCTTGACTTTGTCTTCACTGTTAAGCACACCATCTCCAAATTCTCTATTTCAATATCCTGTTCATTCTTGGCTGCCACCTCCTCATCTCCTGATTCACTCCTTTGAGCTACCCTTCCCAAAATCACATGGCCGGCCCTCTAACCCCAGAACACACGTGCATGCATTCACACATGCGCATACACACACATCATATACTTCCCAGGCTTAGAGCCCATGGTCCAGCATTCCAGCCTCACTCCTCCAAACACCCTTGGCCCCCTACCTCTCCTGCCATTGAACTCACCTGGCAAAACTCCAACCCTAATTAAATCCAACTATCTGCCTACTATATGGCCACACTCTGGCACCAGAAACTGGGTGAAGAAAATCAAACAATCCTGCTGCTTGTTTTTTTCTTTAAAAATTTAAATGACAGGTTTTAAATGGTCACATTTCCCTGGTAAATCAAGTCCCCTCTCCTCAAGGAGACTATTTGGCCACTTCTCCGCCCTCCTCAAACCTACAAGAAACTTCTTCCCTCACTTTCAGCTTGTGACCTCATTTCAGACTTCACCAAGAAAATACAATTAGATGAGAGCTATCTCATCTTCCCACTAACAAACTCAGAACCTATGTGGAGACCCATGCGGATTTTTTGCCTTCTCAACTGATACAAAGGAATAGATTCCTGCTCTTCTCCAAAGCCAGGTGCTCTCCTGTGCTCTCCAGCCAACCATCCTCCTTACTCAAGCTCTTGTTCCCACAGCATAAATTTCTTCCTTGCTGAATCATTCCAGTCAACATATTAATATGCCTTATTATGACCCATTCAAATAGATTCTTTGACCCCATGCCCCTTTAGCTAGTTCTCCATTTCTTTGTTTGCCTTTAAAGCAAAGAAATGGTCTTTTTCATTCTACTCCCTCATCCTCCATTCTCTACACAATTCCCCCTCCCAACCAGGCTTTCGTCCTCATCAACCCGGCCAAAGACTCTTAACGAGACCACCAGTGACAGCTCTTTTGTCAACTCCAGTGGTCAGTTCTTGTCCACATCTTCTCTGTCCTCAGAAGCACTGGCCATTAACCACTATGTCCATGAAACACATTCATCCTCAGATTTCATGATGCCACAAGATCCTGGTTGTCATCCTACTTGAGTGGCTACTCCTTTTTTTTTTTCTTTAATATGGAAAGTCTTAAATATGTACAAAAGTAAACAGTATAATATAATCAACTCTCATGTTCTTATCACTCAGCTTCAACTCATGACCAATCTTGTTTCATTTATCTTCTACCCACTTCCCCCTCCCAAATTATTTACAAGTCCCAGATATATTACTTCATCCATAAATATTTCTGTTTCTCGAAATAAGGACTCTTTTATCAAAAAAAAAAAATTACACTATCTTGTCACCCCTAAAAAAATTATCAATCCTTAATATCATCAAGTATCAAAGGTTACTCCCTCTTAGCTTCCTTTGCTGGCTCCCCTTCTCCACCCGACCTCGAAATGTTGGAGTCTCAGGCTGTGTCCTCTGTTCTTTTCTCTTTTTATGCTCCTTCCCTAGGTGATCTCATCCAGTCATAGAGCTTTGAATGTCAGCTATATGTTTATGACTCTCCTGAGTTCCAGTTTTCTGTGGTTGATGGCTTAACTTAAATTTCTAATGAGAACATCAATTTTGATGTGACAGAACAGGATCTTTGATTCTTTCTCCACCCACCCTTACCCCAAAACCTTCTCAACTTCCAGCTTTACCCATCCTAATAAATGACACTACCATCTGTATTTTTTGCTCAGTTAAGAATCTGGCAGTTATCCTTGATTTCTTGATTTCACTTCTAACTGATGTAGGGTCTACTATTTGGCTCCAGTGTTTTCTCTTCTTCCACAGTATAGAACTTTTGCTGGGCACACATGCACCCAGAATAAAGATGGCACTTCTCCACTTCCTTTGCACCTAATTGTGGCCCTAGGACTTGGTTCTGACCAATTGGATGTAAATGGAAGTGTCAAGGGACCACTTTTTGTCTCTCCTTTATCACTTTCTCTATTTTGATGTCTTGAAGGAAGAGGCTGCTTTGGGGATGAGGGTCACACCCTAAGATGCCCTAATAGTGAGTTTTTAGTATGTGGATCATTCAGGGTCTAGTCTGGAGATAGAATTTATTTTTTTTTTAAGATTGTATTTATTTATTTGAGAGAGAGAGTGTGAGAGTGCGCGAGCAAGGAGGGGGAGGGGCAGAGGGAGAGGGAGAAGCAGGCTCCCCGCTGAGCAGGGAGCCCGATGAGGGGCTTGATCCCAGGACCCTAGGATCATGACCTGAGCTGAAGGCAGACACTTAACGACTGAGCCACCCAGGCGTCTCTCGAGATAGGATTTAAAGAGGCAAAGTTTAATATAAGGAATTAATAACTATTTGTAGGAGATTGGGTACTAAAAGGGGATAAAAGAAAACTCTAAAGAATACTTGAGGGCTAAGCAAGAGTAGCCAAGGAAGGAACAAATTCAAAAGGGGGGACGGGCTCAGAAGTTGTTAGAAAAGGTATGCCAAATCCCACTAGAGGTGAAGTTTGCTTAGGCCAGTTACTTTAGAGGAGATTCACAGCCAGTGGATTAGAACTAGCAGGTGGGAAACTGTGGGCCAAAACTGGACAGTGATGGCCATGGGATGCCCCATATACATGCCACTGGGAAGTTACCTTGTATGCGCAAGAGGAAGAGAAAGAGAACCATAACCAAGAAGAGAAGCTCCTTTTTCCTCTCATATCCCTATAGTACCATCTACTGACAAAGCTAACATCAGGCCAACCAGCAACGGAAAAATGTTTACAAAATCCAGCTCCAGTGCCACAAGCAAGGCCATGACGAATGGAACTGGAGTGAAGAAGTAAAATCTGTATTGGTTTGCTAGGCTGCCACAGCACAGACCAGGAGGCTTAACAAACAGACATTTATTTTCTCACAGTACTGGAGGCTAGAATTCTAAGATCAAGAAGTCAGCAGATTTGCTTTCTCCTGAGGCCTCTTGTTGGCTTGCAGATGGTTCCCTTCTTGCTGTGTCCTCATGTGGTCTTTTCTCTCTGCACGCACACATGTGTCCGCTGGTGTCTTCTCGCTTCTGAAGAGATCAGTCATATCGCATTAGAACTCCACAATTATGACTGCACTTAACTTATCTCTTTAAAAGCCTTGTCTCCAAATATAGTCCTATTGGGGGTTGGGGTTTCAACATATGAATCTGGGGAGAACACAATTCAGTCCAAAACTCTCTACCCTTTGGACCCCCAAATGTATGTCTTTCTCACATGCAAAATACATTGCTCCCATCCTAACAGCCCCCACAGTCTTATCCCATTTCAGCCTCAACTCCAAGTTCAGAGTCTGCTCTAGACAGCATCTAAATCAGGCATAAGTGATACCGAAGGTACGATTCATTCTGAGGCAAAATTCCTCTCCACTGTGAACCCGTGAAACCAAGCAACCTATGTGGGACTTGATCCCAGGACCCTGAGATCATGACCTGAGCGAGGGCAGATGCTTAACCCACTAAGCCACCCAAGTGCCCCGGAAGTCATCATTTTACAGCTGAGGAATACGAAATGTCAACGGACTCCCTGACCCACCCAATGAGGCAGAATCAGGACTAGAGCCTGCCTGAGCATTTTCACTCATATTTTTCTTTTATTTGCAAAGCGTCTTTTAGATTGCTGAACTCAGTTTTACACAACTGACTCCAATTGGTCTAAAAGTAATCCCATGCTCCTTGCCAGAGATTGGTTTAGAAACTCAGGCCCAAGCCAGTGAACACAAGGCATTCAAATAGTCATAGGTACTGGTTCACACATGGACAGGTGATAAAAATCTCAGGTTCATGAGATGTGAGAGGAAGTTGGTCAAAGGATTCTGGGAAAGTTTCCTCACTCTTCACAGAGGACCATAGGAAGAGATCCTGGATATTGTCCTAGGTGGCTGTGAGACATACAGTTCTCCTAGCCATCATGATACCAGGTTGAGGATGAATCTGACATCTGGAGGAAGAAAAAGCCAAGAGAATCTCAGAGAAATGGAACAAGAACACTGATTGAATTGTGCTTGGTCCCACCAACCTCTGGTGTTTTTCAGTAGCATGAGTTACTGAATCTATATTGTTCAAGCTGAAGAGGAAAATTACCCAGAGCAGGCCCAGGCTGGCAGGCCCCAGAAGATGGAAAGTTACTAGAAATAGCAAGGGATAACCAGAAGCCCTGCTGGGAGCAAGAAATAACCAGCCCTTTCTGCTTCTGTAAACAGGCTTCCCACCACAAGCTCCCTGCACTAACCGCTATTCCCACCTAAAGCAACCTCCCCGCCAAATTTAAACCCACCTACTAGCAGTCAGCATAGCTCTTGGAACCTGACCCCCTGCATTCCCCTATAAAAGCACTATAACCCCGCTGCCCGGGGCCAGAATTTCTCAAGTGCAACCTCGTCTGGGTCTGCTGATATAAAATAAACCCAAGTTCACCTACTTCTCTGAGTGTCGCTTGCTTTCTCACCGGTCTGATTTTTATTTTCTGCAACAAAGCCACTTTGATTTGGGTTTTCTGTAACTTTAAGCTGAAAGTATCCTACCTGATAGAGAGACTCAGTTGCCTTATCTGAAAAATGGGTATAATAATGTCTACTTTATGAAATTGTTATGATCATTAAGTTAAATAATGTATATAAAGTATTTATAATTTATAGTATAATGTCACATCATAAGCTCAAACCAACTATTATTATTACTCTTATTGCCAGGCATTTTGACAAAATGAAAAAAACAATTATGGAGTTAAATAAACTTGGCAATCCAAGAGTGGGATGTCCACTTTCCCAAATATAAAACTGTATGGAGGCATGGGGATGTGGGGGAGTGGGGGGAAGAATGTCCAATAATTCTGGATTAAAACATAAATTGTTATTTTCATATCTCTGTCTCTCTGTCTCTCTTTTTAGTATCCCTTTACCAACCTCTCCCTATTTCTATCTCACCCCAGCCCCTGGCAACCAATAAATCAGAAGCCTGGCAGCAGCTTTGAAAATATGCAGATAAACTTCTCTTTCAGGAAGAGACAGAGATGGCCATTCTGCCTGCTCTCTCTGCATTGAGCCCTGGGGCATAAAGCTGTGGCGAGTGTTCACAGGGCCCTTAAGATCTGCCTCTTTGTTTGCTATAATTTTGCGGTCTCAGACATAAGCACATTGGATTTCAAAGTCAAGTATTTCAAGATCCAGTTCCTGTACTGGGAGTCTTCACAGTTGGGGCACTAGATGTGGAATCCAAACACCTCACTCTTCCCCGAATAGCAGAAAGTTATGACTTCCCACCTAGTTGTATGATGTGTGTTGGGAGTAGCGTTTATGGTAAGGGTGTGTCTCAGCCTTTCGTACCCATTTTGATGTGGGTATTTTCTCGTTCTTCTGATGTGTACAAGTCACTCGGCTAGTGTCTAGATCTCCCTCAGAGGGACGCTCTGAGTAACTGACCATTCAGTGTATGCACAGGAGAGGGCGCTCAGAAGCCTTTTAGGTTCCCATCTTGATTGCCTCCAATTCCCCTTAAAAGCCTTCTTTGACTTTTCAGTAAAGTAGGGGGGGTAAGCATCTCGTTTGCTGATGAAGATAGATGAAAAATCTTCACTTTTTAAAATAAGATTTTATTTATTTATTTGACAGAGAGAGACACAGCAAGAGAGGGAACACAAGCAGGGGGAGTGGGAGAGGGAGAAGCAGGCTTCCTGCTGAGCAGGGAGCCCGATGTGGGGCTTGAGCCCAGGACCCTGGGATCATGACCTGAGCCAAAGGCAGATGCTTAACTGACTGAGCCACCCAGGCATCCCTTCCTTCTTTTTTTTTAAATTGAATTACATATTGAGGAACAAGACAAGAAAGAGTATTGGGTGGGGTAAGAATAAATGATCTCTGCCTAATTCCATCAAGCCTTGAGATTAACTGAAATATTACATCTTGCCGATAGACACCGAAGCTGTCCCTTCCAGTTCTGTCCTTTCCTACCCCCTTTTCCTTTCCAACCTCCTTACTCCCAATATAGCTGTCAAATCCCTTAGATTTATTCATTAACAATGCACAGGGCATGTAAGCTTCTCTTATAGCATCCTTAACAACATCATAAACCACAGGTTTGGCTAAGTTTGAGGACTGAAGACTCGAGTAAGCGTGTACAGAGGGGTTTATCTAAGCAGTGAGGCAGGGGCGCCTGGGTGGCTCAGTCAGTTATGCGTCTGCCTTCGGCTAGGGTCGTGATCCCGGGGCCCTGGGATGGACATCAGGCTCCCTGCTCAGCAGAGAGTCTGCTTCTCCCTCTCCCTCTGCCTGCCGCTCTGCCTACTTGTGATTCCTCTCTCTCTCTGTCAAATAAATAAATACAATCTTTAAAAAATAAATAAATAAACAGTAAGGAAATACAAATTACCATGATTACAGAAAGTCAAGATAGAAGGAAAATTACAGGTTACCTCCCCTTCCTCCACAGCACAATTTCCTTTCATGCTCCCTCACATTTGTTGACCCATCTAGTGCTAAATGCTTCACGGGTGGCATTTCAGTCTTTTCCAGGAGCCTGAAAATGGCACTTAACAGTCCACAAATATTTTCCCAACATTCAGTCTTATTTTGCACAAAACATGGAGGTCAATGCCTTATCCCATTCACACCCTTCCTCTGTTCACATCCTTCATGGTCTCTGACCTGAAGACTTCCTCCCCAGGAGCCCATCAAGATAGAAACAATTTTTCATATTTCCAAAAGGCAAACGGAAACTGTACACTTGGGCCTCATACGATAAAACGTCCCTCACCTCACTAAACAAGGTTAATGGCCAGCCATGATCTCTGTGGGTATTGTGCAAGCTGGTGGCTGCGTAATTTGAGCACCAGCTCAAAGCTTTCCCTGTATTGTTCCTAATCCTTATGTAATACAAGTTTCACTGAGCCCTGTTCCCACCTATTAATGCAGGGCCACAATCTTGAGTAAAGGGCCCCCAAGGTATTTCCTGATTCCCCAGGGGGTGTCTCACAGAGATTCAAGTCTCATTAGCTGCCATTTCCAGTCTCTTCACCTGCGCCCTCCTCCCTTTGCTGGTCACTGTCACATCCTCACGGCCAGCTGCCCCCGTGGACGCTTCTGTCACTTCCCACTTCCCTTCAGAAACAGCTACCAGGCGCTGGAGGCTTGGAGGTGCTGAGCAGTGTGGTAGGCTTTAGCAAAGATGCAGAGAACATGTCTGTCTCCATCCTCTATTAGAGGGATACCAGATGACACTGGTCATACCCCAATATCTTCAAGCTTTTCAGTGAAATTGCCTCCTGTTGGAACTTAGTGTCCACTTCCCCTCCAGTCCTGCCTTCATCCCCATCATTCCATCAGACCCAGACATAGGAGGCAAAGTCACGGGACAACACAGCACTGTAATGGGAATTTTGTCTCGTTCCCTGGGACAGAGACTTTGTGCCTGGGGGCAGGCTTACCCTGCCTGGTTCTATCTGAGGAGGCTCACTGAGCCCTCTTGCAAATCAAACCTGTAATGGGCCTGTCCTACCAGGCCTCCAAACACATTCAACATGTTCTGACCCTCGGTGATGGATGGGACCCTGCTCTCTTCTTTGGTCGGTCCTATTGCTCTCTCCTCATAAAACTGAGAGTTGGGCGGACTAAGAGATTTTCCCAAGGCTCCACAGTGATGCCTTGACTAATTTTAAAAATAAATTTGTTAATTAATATATACAGTTTTGTAGTAAAAGATTTGAAAACTGGGCGCCTGGGTGGCTCAGTCGGTTAGGCGACTGCCTTCGGCTCAGGTCATGATCCTGGAGTCCCGGGATCGAGTCCCACGTCAGGCTCCCTGCTCAGCAGGGAGTCTGCTTCTCCCTCTGCCCTCTTCCTTCTCATGCTCTCTGTCTCTCATTCTCTCTGTCTCAAATAAATAAATAAAATCTTAAAAAAAAAAAAAATTTGAAAACCGGTGACTTGGGACCCGGAAGTACTGGGTGGGAGTTAAAGAGATCTGGGGATTGGTATAATTGGGGAGAACGGTTCTAACACGAGCGTTGCCATAATCACACTGGTAGGCCTCTGTTG